GGAAAGAGTACATTGGAGATGACATTAGTGAGATAGCTACTGCTGTCAAGGTATGAGAGTAGATTTGTGCTTTTCCACTGCAATATGTTCTTCCCCAGAGCTAATCTTGCCTTTTTTTTTCTTATCAGTCTGCGATTCAGCAATGCTGTAACCAGCTGAAATCCAAAATAGTGAAAAGAATTCAAGCTCGTGAGCAACAGGAGCGAAAACGCAATTTGAGCAGGTAAAAACTCTGTTTCCATACTTTTTTCTCCGAGACATAAATGAACCCTTTTTCCAACATCTACCCTACTGAAATCGAGAACCCGTTGCAGGTATATTCCTGATGTGTCAGGGGCAGTGTATGATGTTCTGAAAGAAATGTCGAGAGAACATGCCACTAAGAAAAAACGTTATTCGGGAGAGGATGCTCTTGTACTCGAGAAAGTGTCGGAACGTCTAATCACCAAAGAGACACTACAAGAAAAGCTTGCCAAGCATGTTGAGCAGGTTTGTATTTTTGGACCATTTATCTATCAAACTATATTGTTTATCTTTCACGAAATGCTAGTATTCAGTAAGAGTGGACACAGATCGGGTACCTGAGTTTTCGAGGATCAGGATACCTGGCCTCGGCCTCGGCACCGACCCCTTGAGTATCTTATCTCGGTATCATCTTCGTAAAGTTTGGGTAGCGGAACCTTTGTACCTGCTGAGTGAGGCGAGAGCTCAGGTACTCGGCTGGCAAGGAGCGAGGCGACAGCCTGTCATGACGATTGACGAGGCCCTGAGGATTCGAGAAAAGAGGGGAGCCTTTATGGAGAAACCAGAGCCTGTCTGAGCCTCGTGAACCCTTAAAGTTTAGGGATTTTAATTTTTTTTTATGAAATTCTCCATTATACCCTCTAAATGTCGAAGAGGGAGCATAAACCAGTAAGCCTCGCCCTCTAGCCATGTCGATGGTTCTCGCTCTCGCCCTTGCCTCTGCCTCTCTCTCAGTTCGGCTCGTCGGTCAAACTCCTGAATACCCATGGGGTCCCATGCCCAGCTCCAGTCTTGGACTGGACTGCAGTTTGTGATAACTTCGGACGAGTCAAAGCATGAAGGAAATCCAATACGGACTGACTCATTTGTTTTCAGGTGGACTATGAGATGGCGCTGGAGTACGCAACACAGAGTGGGGTGAGCGAAGAACCGAGGGAAGACATTTATATTCAACAGTTAGATCCGAAGAACCACTTCGTTGACTTCCAGAGTCCAGCCTTTGTCTTCAGACTCATCCTCTGATAGATAGATACAGATTGCTTTATGTATTATTATTGTTACACTTCGAATGTGTGTTATATATTGTTTAGTCAGTATGAAATAATCCTTCTTTTTAATCCAAAATGCACAATTTTTGTTTAGCTCATTTCACTTGCAAAAAAGCCCTGTGACTTTGGTGACCCTTTACAGAAAATGTTGTGTGTGGAATAGGCTGCAACCATTTCAGGATGCAGAAGCTCGACAACTGCTTTTATGTATTGCTTTCTCACTTGTGCCTATATTGACAAGGTGACCTCTGTCCGTTATGCACCATTGGATTGTGCCGACAGTCGGGTACGGTCATTTCTCGTACCACGTGTCTCTCTGATAGATATTCCACATTGGAAAAAAAGAGGGATTTGGGGTCAATATATTAGGAGGGTCAAAACCTCCACTCTTAAACTAGTTTTTGTGGTGGAGTTAGGACCTAAAACCTTATTAATTGGTATCAGAGCCTAAATCTCTTCTTTCCGATGGGCTTTTGACGGGCCGTTCTCCTGCGGACATGCGATCGATTCGGTGGTTGTGGGACAGAGAGGAACGGTCGGGATGGACCGAGAAGCCGCCATCGACCGAAAAGCCGCCACCGATCAGATTTGCCCTAGCCTCGTGGACGTCGTTGTTTAAAGGGGGCGGTATTGATAGGTGTCCCACATTGGAAAAAGAGAGGGATTTGAGGTCAATATATAAGGAGGGTCAAACCTCCACTCTTAAGCTAGCTTTTGTGGTGGAGTTAAACCCTAAAACCTTATTTCTCGAACTGAACACCGGCCTTTTTTTTAAGGCTTTCTGGTCAGTCTTCTTTCTTAGATTTGACCAGTTCCTTGAAGCGGGTGGGTGGCGGGTTAAACCCTTTGGCTCCTTTGTCAGAAGCCCTCATGCCACTCTCCTCCAGCCTCCAAGTATTTATTCAGATTCCTCCTTTCTTGTAATCTCCTTTGCCAGTCCATCATCGTCATTGCAAAGGTAAGATTTGCCTACAATACACCCTTTTCCCTAAACCCCGGTTCAGCGGGAATGCCCATCTGAATCACCAAACTTCCCGTTAGCATCCTCTCTCGCCTTCATGAATCTGTATCGGCCGCTCAGTTCTCGGCTTCGACTTAGTAGATTTTGATAACCGACATCCACTGATGGGTACAAGCTGATAGAACTGATGCAAAAGCAACTTTGTATGGCTCAGATTGTTTGGGGTGATGGATTCTTGCTTTCCAAGTTGCAGCAATGTTCTTGATATCCATAAATGTCGATGTTAAATTTGAATCTGAATTGCTCGGATTCAGGATTCAATACCCTCATCCAAATATGACATCTAAATCGACCAAAACATCAAACATTAAACAGATTTCCTTAGTTTCTATTTGGAGCGCTAACATTTTGGAGAGAGAGAGAATTACGGAGGAGATAGAGGGAAGATTTACATAAATTATGGCAATTTCGTAAATAAATGATAACAACAATTTTGATACGAACATTTTTTGTATTTCTCTAGGTATGTACGGGTATTTCGTGAATCTTGATAGATTATAACTAATATCTATTCATCTTAAACTCATTGTTTATATAGAATTCAAAGTTTATTTAAAAATAGACAATAAATTTCTTATTTAATTAGAATAATAAAACGAATTTAATAGGCATTATATCAAAAATACCTTTAAAATGCTACTTCTACTTCAACACCTACCCTTGTGACTATGTGACCAATGTGACCGAAATATAGTATGGTCACATATTGATCTCATTGTTCATAACGTTAAATTTATAATGTTTTAATCAAATGATTAGTAAGATATACAAGGTATGAACATAATGAATTAGTGTGATCACCATAAATTTAACGTTATAATCGATAAAAATCAAAATATGACCATACTATATTTCGGTCACATTGGTCACATGTGATCAGAGTAGGTCTTGAAGTAGAAGTAGCATTTTAAGGGTATTTTTGATAATGTCCCTTTAACATTCGGTTGGTATTTAACTAAATTCCAGAATATAAAACGAATTAGGCACTCTTCTTGTAATAAAAGTGTCACACGATATATATATATATATATATATTGTATTTGTGAAATTAAAATAATATTTTATATTTATGAAATAATAACCCTAAAAAAATAAGGAAGTTTCTTCGGCCCAAATAAGAACAGATAATGAGTACGATTTTGCAAAGTCGAAGCCCAATTTCGAGTATATAATTCAGGCTTGGCGGGAAAATTACCGATTCCAAACCCAAATCCCAAATCCCAAATTCTCGCAGAAGCTATTCGTCTCTTCATCTTCTCCTCCCATCGTTAGGGTTTCTTCGGTTTTGTCGAATTTCAATTTTTTTTCCCTTTGTTGTGTAATATTCTTCATTCCCAGAATGACAAGGCGGTCGGTGAAGGCAGAAGCGAAGGAGTCAGTCGACGAGTCGGAGCGACTGAGGACGGTGAAGAAGGAGAAGAACCAGTGTAAGGCCGGAACTGAGTCGGGTCAATCCGACGAGTTGAATCGGGAGAACCCACAGGGAGCTGTGGATCGCAGGGTTCTGAGGTCTCAGTACCTCGCGTTGTTCAACAAGATTAGTGGTACGGATTCTGACTGTGGTTTTGGTTACATCTAAAGTTTGATTTCATCGCTTTTATCATCTCATAGGTTTCGCGTTTCGATTATTGTGCAGATGTTCGCGATGATTTGTCAAAAGTGGATTCGAGCAAATTCGCAGATATTATTAACGAAGTTGAGAACTTGCACAAGAAAGGTAAAGATGGTTTCAACATGTGAACTTCAGGTCGTTGTGAATCTGTTTGATTATTATGAATTCAGGATTTTTTCCTGGGCCCTTCAATTTAAACCCTAATTCGCACATTATGAAAATTTATCATGAGGATATTTAAATCTTCTTTCTGAGTCTTGAGACTGGGGATCCTGTTTTGAATGAACTGGATAGTTTTCATGTTCTTGTTCCTCTCTGTCTAGTGTCTGAATTTCTCCTGTCACGTTTTTATCCATGTTGGTGGAGCTCAAAAACATGTCGGGTAGAAAGGAAACTGTGGAATATTTTGTCTGTTTCTTTTTGTTGTTATAGGCGAGAGCTAGAGACTTGTAGTTTTCCTTGATCGTCTAACCGAATAGATTTTCTTTTGTGGTTCTTGTACTTCTCTTCCCTCAGTCCAGAAGCCTCGGGAGCAAATTGCTGATGCAGAAGTGCTTCTCGATATAGCAAACACCTTGGTTTCATCGGTTAAGTCCCAAACTGCACATGGTGTTTCCCCTGCGGAGTTCATCAATGCCTTGATCAATGGGTTTGGGCAGCCTTCTAGAGGAATTGACACCGATGAAAATACTCGGGTCTCGATAAACTGGAAAGACATTGGTCTTGCTGTCTGCTCTACAGTCAATGTGTCCTTTGGTTGCTCCACAATGTGAGTTCTCAATAATACTGAATTTTAACTCACTTTTTGTGCAGCTGAGTATTGTGTTTGAATAAAGTCATCATGCCTTATGATGTTTTGTTAGTAGATAATCTCTTCTCTCATGACTTTTTTGCTTTGTTTTGGAATCCTTTCAGGTTGGGGCCTATGGACACGGAATTGAAGCAAAGGAAAAGGGCAGTGGTCAACAGAAAACGTACGAGGCTAGCTGAAGGTGTTCAACCAGATGAGGTGAGAAATTCTTTGCAAACCAGTGCTATATTTTACGAGCAATATTATAATGTTTCCTTTTGTGTGATACGTGTGGTCCTAAACTTCTCCAAGGGTAATATCACTGGATTTCTTCTGCGCAGTTATACAGGAGGTTCTTATATCTTGTAATCTAGTATCCTTTAGTTATCATAGCTTGTACTTGGTTTGCTTCCATTTACCTACTTGTCCATGGCTGTTCGATTGTCCAAAAGCTGAGTGAAATCTTGATTTCCATCGATTGCATAGCTAGAAATAGATTCCATGATGAAAGAAGATGCGATGTTCATATGGAATTTCATCTTTTGTTCTTTACTCGTGGATTCAGATTCAATGAAACTGATTTGAATTCATTTTATATCCAACAGGTTGATGATACACAGGCAGAAGAGAAAACAGATACGGACAACAACATGCTGATAATGTTTAATATCTTAAGGCGAAATAAGCGTGTCAGGCTTGAAAATCTGGTCCTCAATAGGAGGTCATTCGCACAGACAGTAGAGAATTTATTTGCACTATCATTCTTGGTCAAAGATGGACGGGTTGAGATCACTGTGGACAAAAGCGGTTCTCATTTCGCATGTAAGATATACTCTTAATCCCCAACATCTGATTTTGGCATGATTTCATCCGTAACCAATAAACTGTATCACTTATCTCTCGTTTCCCGTTATTCCTCAGTGCCAAGGAATGCAGCTGCAGCAAATGCAGTTATGTCGGGCGAGGTTGTTTATAAACATTTTGTGTTCAGATTCGATTTCAAAGATTGGAAGGTGTGAGATATGATTCATCTTGATTACAGTTGGAGCATATTCACTCACTAATGGTAAAAAGACGTAGTTCTTTATCCCCTGTAAGCTGGATTTCTGGTGATTTTTTTGCAGTTGATGACCACAATGGTTCCAGCGGGTGAGGAACTTATGCCACATAGAGAAACTGCAGTTCCTTCATCATCTTCTCAGTTGCCATTAGCAGAACCAACACAAGAAGAAAATGTCGTAGAGAATTCTCAGACAACACCGATAAGAAAACTGTCTAGGAACCGAGGTCTGGTAGTACAAGAGGAAACGGTCGTAGAAGATACTCCTGATGATATCAGTTGTGATGCCAGCCAAGGTGCCGGGCTCCGCCGCAGGTGCAAGCGTAGGCTCAATTGAAAGATGGTTAGTAAAGGTGTGAAGCTCTTTTTTGGCTGCATAACGAAGCTTAGCTCTCGTTTATGCTTCGGTATGTAATATATATATATTGGTTAGGACTTAGGAGTACCCGTCTCATTCGTGGTAAGTTTTTGGCAGCGTATAGGCGCTACTGTCATTACAGATTCGGGTATGAGCTTCAGTATCTTAAAAGTTCAAGATCCTTCATGCTGGTTTTTGTTATAAAGACAAAGCATAAATGGTTCTTGTACTTTTGTAGAACGTTCGAAAAAGCCCTGAATCTCAAGCTAGCCATTTTATTTTGATTGTTACAATCATTTTTGTCTATGCACCTGCGTTATCTTACCAGTTTTCGATTTCTGTTACATGGAACACTTTGTAAACGGTCCAAATTCGTACATAAAGAATTTCTGAAGTAATCAAGTGAATTAAACGATTATCATACAAATAAATAATGTAATAACACTAACTAGTGTCTGAAAGTGTAAGTTCAAATGCTAAAGCAAAGCAAAAAACCCACAAAAATTAGAATACCTAAAAGTGGAAAATACATGGAAGGGTTATTGGATCCTTACACCGAACAACCTAAACCCTTTGTTCTCCTCCATGTCGTTATTGCCAGATTCTGAACCGGTTTTGTCCCGTGATGTCTTCATCTCTTCATCTAATCTCGCCCGGAAAACGTTGCCTGAATTCATATCGGCGCCTGAATTGTCGCATCTTGTCGTCGTCGTCGCTTCATCCGTGACGACGAAAGCGTTCTCTTCGTAGTAATGAACGTCGATCATAAGGAATTTCATGTTCTGGCCCTCTGATGATGTATTCGCGTTGCTCGGGACGTCGCAAGTGTAAAAGACGATAACATCCTTTTCCTTGAGGTTCTTCTCCTTGACGAAACCGCTCCACCCTCTCGTGAAAACGAAGCTTTGGCTGCTCCTCCAGTAACAATACCGGAACTTCCACTGCCTCATCTCTCTGTCGTAGAAAACGAGGCCGACGTCTTCTCTCTCGTCCTCGCTAAAGATGTAAGGCAAGTACTTGACTGCGTACTTCTTTGGTATCACAAGCCTGTTGAGTTTCCCGACATCGCTCGGGGTTAACTCCTTCTGAAAAAGCTGCGTGCAGGCGAAACATTTGTTGGTTTCTTTCGATCCCGTGACGTTGATATTCGCCACGATCTGGGACCGGATTCTGAGAAAATCCCGGAACTTGTGCTGATAAGAACCGTCTCTGATCATGTTCAGGACAGCTTCTGCAGTGTAACATTCTTGGAAGTCTGGTTCGTGGATTGTGATGTCGGTCCACGGGAAATTCCGATGCGGGTTCCCGTCGGAACTCCTCAGCTTTATCGAGGCGGAATCGTAAGCCATGGCTGCTTCCGCGGCCGTTTTGAACGTGCCGAGCCATATTCGCCTGTGGTCGGCGTAAATCTGCGCACCCCAATGCCTGTTCTGCTGCTGAACAACTCCCTTGTACTTTGCCGTGCTGGTCAAGGCAACGGATGCCGTGCTGGCCAAGGCAGCTTCCTCTTCATGTAATTTTCGCTTCGAGCCAGACGTTACTGTCTTCTTGACGCTCGACGACGAAACTGTACTCAGCGTGTCGTCGATGTTCATCGCAAGAAACATAAGGATTTTGGAAGAAGAACAAAAGACAGAGAAGATTAGATCAAAGTGGAAGGGAGATTTCAGACAGAGAGAGAAGAGGAAAGATGAATCTGAGAAAGCAGAAAGGACAGATCTTGGAGAGTATTTACAGGAGATATTCAAGGGAGCAAATCCTGCAAAATCAGTGGTATCTATATACATATATGTGTATATATATATATATATGGTTTGTCCCCTTCTGTTTGTAAATTTGTATGAATTAAACTTGGAAAGTTCAGTTTCCTTTTTTTGTCAGCAAACAACAAAAAAGGGAACAATTTGTAATTAATTTTTTCTTACCAGAAGGGTGTTAGTGGAAGTTTCCTTACTGATAAATACATTTTTATTAAAAAAAAATTCAGATTTTTCGTTGGTGAAAATGAGTTTAAAAAGACAATCTGGATGTAGTTCGGGCTCTCTTTTTTTGTTGTCTTAATTTAGACATAAGAAGCAAAAAAAAAAAAACCTATGGTCTATGTGTTTTTATTTTCATTTGTTTTAAATTTTTAGTTTATTTTGTTTCTTGTTTTCTGTTTATATGGTTTTAAGCCGATGAGTGAACTCAATTAGCCTCCTATCCGAATAATTATATACTCAAGCATTGTTAATAACAGATTAAACAGTATTTGTGGGTTATTTGTATTACTAATTTTTTGGGTAAGATAAAATTATTTCGATTTGATTACGAGAAACAAATGGATAGAATAAGACGTAATTCTATTCAAATTGAATTGATCTGGACACTATTTGGTTATAATTAAAAAAAATCAAATTAATCGAATTTAAAATAATTTCTAATGGAATATAAAAATAACAATAAAATCAAACGTATATATTGTTTCTGAAAAAATATTTTTTTTTATTGAAAATGGAATCCTAATCGAACCGAATAAAATCTGAATCGAATTAAAATACAACTTACTAAAAATCAAATGGAAACATCAAAACTAAATATCTAATAAATATATTTTTAACAAAAAAAAATCTCATTAAAAACTAATCAAGTAAAAGTAACAAAATTTTGAAATACCCATATCCGAGGATTAACTAAATTTAAATAACCTATTACTCAAATAATTAAAATCATACATATAACAGATTAAACAGTACCAAACAATAATCTGGGTTATTGTGTTAACGCCCTCCTGGGTTATGATGACAATATTAGAGTAATCTAAATAATTAATTATATTTTTCAACCAACATATTGAAATGTTATCAGTTAATTTTAAAGGGGATTTGCACAGTAATAAAGAGTTCGATTGCAAATATTTGTAAGGATTGATTTCAGAAAAATACCCCAAATTATAAATTTTTTCCATAATAATATCCCAATTTAAAAATTAGCTAATTAATACCTAATTTGCAAATATTTTCCAAATCGATATCCAAAGGTCACAAAGTTAATTTTTTCGTCATGTGTGTCATGCCATCGGACACATCAATGTCACGTCAATACCATGTCAGATTATGTTATTTCCAAAAAAAATAACCCAATTCTTGATTTTTTTTCAAATATATATCCAAATTATAAATTTGACATTAATATATCCAATTTTCAAAATATTTCCAAATTTATACCTAAATTTGTAAATATTTTTCCAAATGCATTTGTAAATGTCTCCCAAGTTCGACTTGACCCCGCACTCGGCACGAAGGTTTCGGGCTCAGGTTCGGACTAACCCAATTTTTTCGGCACTATATTACCAAGTTGAAAGCCTGACTCTATAGATTTAGGTTCAGTTCGGATTGGGTGGGTCAGCCCATCCCGTATAATTTTGCTTTGTAAATATGTTTTTCTTTCTTTTTTTTTTGTTCCGAGACCCGAATCCCGAATCGAGCCCAACTCGAAAGCCCAAAAATTATGATTATCGATGTTTGGGTTGGGGCTTAGAGTCTTGAGCCAAAACTGATATGCTAATTATGATTATCGATGTATGGGTCGAGCTTTCATGTCAGATTCTATTTGGGATTCGAGCTCGATTTAAGCTTCGATCTGAGCTCGAGATCTATAGGGTCGAGCTTCGATCTGAACTCAAAAAAATTGGGTCAGCCCGAACCCGAGCGCAAAATACTCGGGTCGAGTGCGGGTCAGATCAGAACTTGGGAGATGTTTACAAATGCGGGTCAATTTAGAAAAATATTTATAAATTTGGGTACAAATTTAGAAAGATTTTATAAATTGAAGTATATTTATGTTAAATTTATAATTTGGGTATATATTTAAAAAAAATCAAGGACTGAGGTATTTTTCTGGAAATAATATAATGCATTGATGTGGCATTGACATGTCTGGAGACGTTGGCACACGGTACGGGATGGAAAAATTAACTCTGTCACATTTGGGTATCGATTGGAAAATATTTGCAAATTAGAATATTAATTAGCTATATTTTAAATTTGAGTAATATTATAGAAAAAATTACAATTTAGGATATTTTTCTGGAAATAATCCTATTGGTAAAAACCAAATTTCACACGAAAAGTATGTCATATGTTGACCAATATTGGAAAATTGTTATATTTATTTATTTTTCAACCGAGGAATTTGTTATATTTCCCGTTAAAATTTGTTTAAAAGATTTTATTTTGCAAAAATAGAATGGGAAAAACTAAGATGTTGCGAAAAACAAAATAAGCATCATTTAAAAAAGAGATATCTATTCAGGTTTTATTGCGGGAGAGCTCATGGATCCCAACTAGACTTTCATTATTTCTCTTCTCTTTTCCTTTTATTTGTTATTGAATAGTATTTCATTTTATTTCTGATTTTGGCTTTCAAAAATTACGCTGTTAATTTTTTTTTGCTTTGAATTCTATATGTTCCATTGAATTTAGTTTTTATTATAAAAATATTTACTTAAAAAATTGTTTGATTTTTTCAATTATTTTTATATAATTAAATTTGATTAATTTAATCTAAAAATGATACAGTTATACCTAATTATTTTGGATCAAATTTAAATAAAATTTTATATATTATTTATTTTGTTCCAATTTTTATTTATATATCGAAACCGAAACTGCAACTCCCGTAATAATTGGTCGAAACATTAATATGGTTTAGACATTAATAGTTTTGCATTAGTCGATTATTTTCTAAATAAACAAAAATAAATTTCGAAAATTATTCATAACATTACGAAGGTGTTCCACAAAAGGGAAAAACAGACACAAAACACGGCAGCATCCAGAATACATAGAAACCACAACGATAATATATAATATATGATCAAGATCACATATATATATTTATGGAAAATATTATTAAATAATGAAAGGTTTTTTTTTTTTAATGGTAGTCCCATAATTATAACGATATTAATCGGCAAAGTTGATGTAAATAGGGTTGTTCTGGGTCCCAGGCTCGTCTGCCTCTCTGTTGTTGTTTGCAGCCTCCGCCCTTGCCTTCCTCCTCTCCTCCTCCTTCCTGTACTTTATCCCACAAGCGTTGCATAGCGACTGAGATCACAATCAAACCGGATTAAACCAGAATCCAATTTATAAATTTAATAGACATCAAACCGGATGCGTAAACCGAGAATTCATCTTCTATTCCTTTGTTTTCGAATTATCAGATTATCAATCTAAACCGAAATCCAAAGTTGAAATTTCAGTTCATCGAACCGGGTACAAGCGAGAATAAACCCAGAACTCGTCTCCTAATTCATCTTTTCGATTATAAAACTGAACTGAAACAAACCAAAAATTTATCTCCTAATACTTTGTTATCATATTATTGAATCATAAAATTAAACCGAAATAAACCAAAGTCCATCCTTCAGATTTTGAAGACATTAAACCGGATACAAACGACAGTAACCCAAGAATTCGTCTCCTAATGCTTTGTTATCATATTATTGAATTCTAGAACTAAACCGTGATAAACCTAATTCCAACATTTTAAATTTTGGACACGTTAAATCGGATAATAACCGGAATAAACAAAAAAAATTATCTCCTAATGCATCTCCCGGTACTTTGTTTTAATCATATTATTAAATTATAAATTTAAACCAAAATAAACTATAATCCTGAAGTTCAAATTTAAAACACACCAAAACCAGATACAACCCAGAGTAAACCAAGATTTTATCGCCTAATATTTTGTTATAAATTAATTAAATTATAAAAGCACACATCAAATTTAAATTAATTTCATAATATGACCTATGAGCTTTAGAATAAAATTATTGTATCAGAAAATACATATAATAAAACTAAAACGTATTTAATTTTATCAATTTTTATTTTCCTTTGCGATAAATCTCTTTTAGATAATTTTTTCACCTATATAAATTTAATTATACCAAAAAAATTACGATTAAAAATAAAATTTTAAAAAAGTTGTACTAACCTTTGGGCCGAGGGGACCCTTGCGCCACATAGGAGTATCAGAAGTGTTGCAGTTGAAATTGGTACATCTTTTCACTAACGACGACGCTTTAATGTTGTATCCAGCGTTTGCGTTTGCGTTTGCGTTTGCGTTTGCGTTTGCTAACGCGCGTTCGCGTTGGGCTCTTCTCTCCGGAACATCGATCAGCACGAATTCATTCCCGATGACCGGTACGGCAGCAGGAGCCGGCGGATCACGGCGGGGGTTCATGTCGCCGGAGATACCATCGGGCAAGTATATCCCAGAGCCGGAGCTACCGCCGGAAAAGTATCCCCCGGAGCAACCACCGGGAAAGTATTCCCCGGAGCCGGAGCTACCGCCGGCAAAGTGTCCCCCGAAGCAACCACCGGAAAAGTACCCCCCGGAGAAACCACCGGGAAAGTATCCCCCGGAGCCGGAGCTACCTCCGGCAAAGTATCCCCCGGAGCTACCACCGGGAAAGTATTCCCCGGAGCCGGAGCTACCGCCGGTAAAATGTTTTCCGGCGCCGGAAAATTTTTGCATGATGTAATCGGAGACCATGAGATTGATGTCCACCTTGGTCGTTGCATCGCCGTTGCTTCCGGTGCCGATTGTCGGACCCTTTTTTATTATAATTATTCAATCCACACAAAAAACAAATAATTAGACATATTTGAATATTTTTTAAATGTATAAAATTGCATGAATACTAATTTATTTTTGCCAAAGCAAATATATTTTAGGTTGAGATAGGTTTTAAAAAATGAAATTTTGTGCAACATATAGTTTCCGTATAGTCATATCCAAAATCTTGTTATAAAATTTAAACAAAAGTTAAATTAAATCGATAGCCGACAAATATTCATATTAAATAACGAAACGACAAACGATACGATCTAAATTATATATAGATCTAATTTTCATCATCTAATATAAATTAAACAGTTGAATCACAAAATAAAATCATTCCAACAATAAATAAATTTTCTATATAGACGATACGATCTAAATTTTATGTGACGATTAAAAATATCTCATTATTATCGTATAATATAAATATTAACATGTAGAATCACAAAAATATAATCATTCGAACAATACATAATATTTATAATCGAAAATTTTCAATAAATTTAAAACTCTATATCTCGAAATGAAAATTTAGGGGATAAATATTTAACCAAAAAAGGAGGAAAAAAAAGAGACTAGGACATGAGAGTATACCTTGTCGGAATCAACGATTTGGTTGCTCATCGGCAAACCAAGCTTGAGAGTTAAATCCAAATCCTCCATTCCAACAAAAACCTAATTGAAAAAAAAGAGCTTGAAATGGTTATCTAGCAAAAACAACGAAATTAAAATATGAGTATATATAAACACGAAATTGATATAATCAAAGCAAAAAATATAATATAATAATATATATACACACACATATATATATATGTATATATATTTTAATACGTGCATGTCATGCAGGGAAAGGTTTAATATAAGTTTGAAACCGACGATAAGCATTAAGCAGAAGATGACTTGGAAAGACTGACAGAATCTACAAATGGACAATGGTTTTAGAGTGCAACCACACGATGTTCAATCATTTTGAGAGAGAAATTACATTCAGATTTTTCAAAATCTCTTTTTTTTTCAGATCTGAAAATAATCGATCCACTAATCTTGAGAAGATCGTGTGCCTCCTATACAAAAAATTCATGCATATAATATATATATACTTATATATATATATATATATATATATATATATATATATATATATGTAACTCATGTTTTTACTCACATAAATATACACGAACCGTAAGGGCATGAAAAATGTGAACATCCCTAAAATCATGATTACTACATGACAAATTGAAATTAATTTTCACACAAATTAAAGACAAAAAAAACTGAAACAAATGTAAGAGCGAGTTTTATGTACAAAAGAAAACCATATATATACATTATGACATGATTATTTTCACATTAAAAAAAAACTAATTGTATAGCTTCAAATAAATAAATTTATGCCTACAAGCTTGTATTATATATATATATATATATATATATATATTCTATAATCCTAAAATAAAAATAATTGTATAAATACCAATATCCTAATTATAAATTGTTAGATTTTGTATAGAAAATGGTTTTGTGTCCGACACCTAAAACTAGACTGGTTGTTTCGATATTCGATACAGATTTATTTTAGTATTTATTTACTTCAATTCGATTTGATTTCACTTCAGTTTTTATATATATATATATCTTAAAAAATTCAGTTTTTTGAATTTTTTTAAAAATTGGGCTCGGTTCGATTCCATAAAATACGGTTTTCTAAAAAAGTTATTATTGGGGATTTTTTATGGTTCGGGTAAAAAATTATACTGAATTTTTCAGTTTGGTTATAAAAAACCGTATAAAAAAAATTCAAAAATTCAAAACAAAACAGTTTGAAATATGGGTGTCAATTTAGGTTTGAATCCCTTAGACATGTCCTCAGTCCACCCAAAAAATATCGGGTTTCGGGCCCAAGTTTTTTAGCCTAGAAAAAATTAGATTTTCGAATCGGACTCAATTCGGGTTTTGGGTCTGATTTGGATCGGCCCAAAAACATGATATTTAAAAAAAATAATTAAAAAAAGAAACAAAAATAAAATTACAAAAGAATTGATCAGATCGGTATGATCTGATCCGAGCCCAAAATTTATAGGACTGGGCTTTAGATTTAGTTATATAGGCCCAAAAAATCGGGTAAGTTCAAACCCGAGTCCTAAACCCTCCGACCGAGTGTAGACTCGAATCGGCTCGATTGACACCCTTTGTTTGAGGATATATGAAAATTTGGATTTGGAATCTCAAATAATATAGTATTGTCTCTTGATTGCATTGAAAAAGAGCGGTAATAAAAAAACATGCGTATAACAAATGAAAACTCTAGTTTTCTAGCGACCATCTATTATTACTCGATTCTGTTGAGAAAGAATTGAGTAAATAATGTCATTTGATTGTTGATAAAAACAGATTTTTTACTAATAATATTCGAAAACTCTAGAAGGGGAGTCTTGGCGTACCGGTTAAAGTGTTACCGTTGTGACCTTAAGGTCATGGGTTCGAGTCCTGGAAGCAACCTCTTGCAGATATTTCTGCAAGGTAAGATTTGCCTACAATACACCCTTGTGGTGGGACTCTTCTCCAGACCCTCGCTCAACGAGAACGCTTTGTGCGCCGGACTGCCTTTTTAATACTTGAAAACTTGGTCTTTTTAGCGATAAACGATTACCACTCGCTTCTTTCGAAACATAACCGACTTCTATTTGATTTGACAGTAAATAAAAAAAGGAAGCTTTCTACCAATAATAGATGAAAGTGCTATTCAAATAACCATCCATAATCATTCGATTGTGTTTAACATAATCGAATATGTAATTTGTTACGACCACTATTAAAAAGACATTTCTTCTTATAACGATGAAAACTGTGATTTTCGGGTAATATGATTTTGACAGTAAATAAAAAAAATTCTATCAGTAATAGACGAAAACTCTACATTTTTTAGTCGTCATCTATTATCATTCGATTGTGTTTAACATAATCGAATATGTAATTTGATTCGACCACCGATGAAAAGAGATTTCTTTCAGTAACGATGAAAACTGTGATTTTCGTGTGGTCTGATTTGGCAGTAAATAAAATAAACAGAAGATTTCTACCAGTAATCGACGAAAACTCTACCTTTGTAATGGCCATCTATTATCACTCGATTGTGTGTAACATAATCGAATGTATAATTTGATCTGACCACTAATGAAAAGAGATTTCTTCCGCTAACGATGAAAACGTTGATTTTTATGTGATCTGATTTGGCAGTAAATAAAAAAAAAAAGATTTCTGTCGGTAATAGACAAAAACTCTACTTTTCTGATGGTCATCTATTATCACTCGATTGTGTTTAACATAATCGAATGTATAATTTGATTCGACCACCGATGAAAAGAGATTTCTTTCGGTAACGATGAAAACTGTGATTTTTGGGTGGTGTGATATTTCTGTAGGATACTAAAAAACATACAATACAACAAAACAAATATTTAGAATACATATACATACACAATATATGGTATTGTTTGGGGAAAAAAAGTATGAAGAGAAGACATACTTAATAGTTAAAAGGCAAAGGAAATTGTTTTTCTTCTTTGGGTATAATGTTAAAGAGCAAGTAAGGGACCCATTTTATAGGTGGATATGCATGAAATAAGAAATCCTTTTGAGGAAATTTTGGTCTAATAAGGAATTTCATCTGTATCTTATAACCAATTTTTAATAAACATTGCAATGTATCTATCTGTTAGGATGAATCCAATTGATGAGTGGTTCACATTTTTTATTCCATGGCACCTAAAGGTTATATATTTATTATTATTAATTATCTAAATAGATTTTTTACATTTTTTTATTCAAACTTCTTGTTTTTACAATTATGGTAACAAGTCCACCAAACAAACCAATTTTATTTTGTGAGGACATGATTTTTAGATATAACTATTACATCTTCATATATATATATATATATATATATATATATATATATATGTGTGTGTGTGTGTGTATGTATATCTCTCTCG